GGCATGGCGTCTCTCTCAGGCGTCTGCTCCGGAGAGCAGAGCTGTGGAGTCTCTGACCTCACTTCCTCTTCCTCCCAGCGTCCTGTTCTGCCTACTCCTCCCACCTATCCTCTAACCAATAAAATGGGCCAGGGCAGTGCCTTTATTAGCCAATGACCTTCCTCCATCAGCCCTATATAAGCTGCCCCTGAGCACAATAAAGTTGGCATTCTTGGTTCAAGGACCCTGTCCCCATCTCTCTCTCTCTCTCTCTCTCTCTCTCTCTCTGTGTGTGTGTGTGTGTGTGTCTGTTTAAGTCTCCAGCTTAATTCCCAGCTTGCACACAGTCCCGTAGTGCAGGCCCTACAATGGGAAACAAGCCAGCACCCTTCCATGGCCTTTGCTTCAGCTGCTGCCTCCTCCAGGTTCCTGCTTGAGTTCCTGTCCTGACTTCCTTCAGTAATAGACTATGAGGTGGAAATGTAAGCCAAATAAACTCTTTCTTCCACAACTTGATTTAGGTTATGGTGTTTCACCATAACAATAGTAAGTAACCCTAACTAAGACGATATGGAAGCATGGTGTTCTGTGTTGCTAGTTCATAATTTAATCAGATCCTTATCAATCAAGTCTTGAGTTGTCTTTAGTGTACACTGTTCCAACCAGTGTTAGACTATAAACCTTGTACTTAGCCACTTTCAAGTATGCAAACATGTCTTCAGGATAAATCTCTCAAAGGAAAACTGCATAAGATATCAACGAACAGCTAATTTTGATAGACATTACTAAGCTGACCAACATTAACTTACATTTTAGGAGGTTTTTATTGTTGTACAATATTCTGAAGTTCAGAAGGTAGATGGTATAGCATATGGGCCCCTTAAGATGGTAAGTCTTGATTGTCAAATTGTCAGCTCGATGAGCTCTAGAACCCCCTATGAGAGGAGGCTCTGGCATGTCTGTGGAACATTGTGTAGACCAGGTTGGTTGAGGTGGGAATACTTGTCCACTGTGGATGGCACCACTCCATGGGCTGAGAGCCCAGACTATACAAAAAGAGGAAACCCATTTGATCACAAGCACTCAGGGCCTTCTGTTTCCTGGCTATAGTGTGAGCAGCTGTCTCAAGCTCCTGCTTCTGACACTTCTTGGCCATGATGAACTAAACCTCAGAACTGTGAAGCCAAATAAATCCCTTTCTACCTTAAGTTGCTCTCATTACTGTTTATTTGTTTTGTTTTGTTTTTTTTTATCACAGCAGTGAAAACAAGTAACTAACTGTGATGGTTTAAATGAGAATGGCCCCCATAGGCTCAGTGTTTGAATGACTGATTCCCCACTTGATGGAACTGTTTGGAAAGGTTAGGAAGTGTGATCTTGTTGTAGGATGGCACGTCCCTGGGGGTGGGCTTTTAGGTTTCAAAGCTTTGTGCTTACAGATCAGGGTGTAAGCTCTCAGCTACTGCCCTGGTGCCATGCCTGCCTGCCTGCTGCCATGCTTCCTGCTGTGAAGGTCATGGATTCACCCACTGAAACTGTGAGCCCCAATAAAATTTCCCTTCTATAAGTTGCTTTTGTTATGGTGTCTCTTCACAGCAATAGAAAAATAACTAAGACACTAACACACTGCTCCTACTGAGGCGTATTATTAGAATAACTGAGGTTATTCTAAATTGTTGTATAAAAACAATGATAAAATAAGCATTTGTTTGTAAGATCTCTTGCGTAGGTATTTTTCCACAATCGTTGACAGAGTGAAGAGAGAGGGAGAAAAGTAAGAAGAGGGGGAGACAGTGTGGGGAATATGGTACCCAGAAAAAGATAGTGAAGCAGAAAGTGCCATAGGACTTAGACCCACAGGAAGGTTTGATGTTTTATTCTAGACCAAGATTATATTATTTGCTTCCCAAAGATCATCCTGCGAGCCACCTGGAAAGTGGTTGGAGGGAGCTGTGGTGTGACACCTAGCATCAGAGGGAGGCCTAGTTGGAGTGAAATGAACAAACTCTTAGCAGAGGGAAGCAAATTATCACAGAAAATGCCCTGCTTCCTACAGTGGCCACCAGGGAGCACTCTGGAGAGTGATATAAGGGGTACAGGAATCAATGAGCCAGATAAGACAGCCTCTGCCTTCAGGGATTTAGCAAAGAGTTGTAGGTATGGATCATTGCACCATGCACGGTGTTACAAAGTGTTGACCACTTTGCACGTGAAACACCACTTTGTTACTAGGTCAAGGTTTTCTTTTTTCTCTCTCTTTGGCCCTCCAACCTCCCTTTCCCTCTGACAAGCCTCTTCTCTCTGATTTCTTCACTGGGAAGGGTTAGTGAGGCGCTTAAATGGAATCACTTTGAAAAACTCTGGTCCTGGCTTTCTAGTTCCTTTTTCAGTTGCTGTGCTACCCCCAACAAAAACAAGCTTAGTTCAGCGAGAGTTTTTTTGGCGCATGGTTCCAGATTACAACCCATCACGGCAGGGAAGTCATGGAGACAGAAACTTAGGGAGAGGGTCACGTTGCATCCACAGTCGAGAAGCAGAGAGCAAGGAAAGCATGTTGCTACTCACTTCTCTTCCTCCACTTATCTAGTCCAGGATCCCAGGGAACAGCACCACCCACGGTGCCTTTTCAGGGTAATACAATCAAGATATCCCCTCCTCCCCTGCCCAAGCATGAGCAGAGGCCCATCTCCCAGGTGATTCTGTTCAGCTGATAATCAACACCAATCATCCCAACTAGCTTCTGAAGAGGAGTACTGAATTATATTTGGTGAATGGGTGAGAAAAAAAAAATCTCTTTCTTCCCCATTTGCCTTCTGGAATCCCTGCCAGCCTTTCCTGTCAATCATGTGGGTTCTTCTTCAGCTCTGTAATGTCATTAACAATGGAGAAAACTGGGCTCATTAAATCTGTGCAGCGGTTTGCCTGAGTCATATGCTGGGAGGAAAGGCAAATTAATTGCTTACATATTTTTAATTTATTCTCTTTCCAAAGTCACCCTTTTAAAAGATAAAATATTTATCTCCTCCATCCTTTGATTATCAGGGAAGTTTTAATATATCAGGAAGAGTACTGAAGGCATCCATTTATTTGATTAATAGATATCAAATTATTCTGGTTCGGTTTATTGTTTTAGACCACATTTCTGTAGGGACATTAATAAATGTGATTGCTTTTGCTAGAATATTCGTTAATCCTGTGGTTTAGTGTGTGGATAATGGAACACGCTGTTCTGCTGCCTCTTAGTGAGCTTTCCCCGCTGGCTAGCCGAAAAGCAAAGAAACTGATTTGACAAACACGTGTGCAGCCAGAGGACCAAGACAGTTTTCGAATCTCTTTACACTCTCAGACAACGGCATAAAGGTACGCCCGAATATAGTTTTCTTTTCTAACAGGTTTTTCTCCATCAGCCTTTTAAAAATTTAGCGAAGAAATCTGAGAGGCAGTCGCTAAAGACTGAATGGCGTCCCTCCCCATTTTCCCAGAATGAAGCCATAATCCTATGTGTGCTTGTGTGTGGATATGAGGCCTAGGAGAAGTGATGGCAGTTTTCAAAAAAAAATCATCAAGGTGGGTCCTTAATGCATCTGAGTTGGTGTCCTTTGATAAGAAGAAGCGTTGCCAGGGTGCTCTCTGTCTCTCTCTCTCTTCCTCTCTCACCCCCTCCCCCCAACTCTCTCTTTGCCTCTGCCATCAGAGATGCAGCCCTTTGCTGGTCAGGAGGAGCTCTTGCCAGGAACTGACCCTACTGGACCACGACCAGACCTCAAGAGTGGAGAAAATATAATTTCAGGAGAAGCCACCCAAGTCTGTGAGACAATGCCATGCAGGGGAGCCAACAGGACAGCAGACTTCGGAAATTCTAGAATGCTGCTCCTTGCTGTTTCTGGTCAAAAAGACTGTATTCGGCTTGGAGACCTTACTTACAATCATTTGCTTTATCCGTTTGGGGGTTTTTGCTTTCTTTATGGATAAGCAGCCCCAAGTGGACAAAACTGTATGATGACGAAAGACTGCTTTGATGATTCAGGTCACCCCACAGCTGTCAACTGACATAATTTTAGTCACAACATCACCAGGGCTTTCTAGTCAAGGACAAATCGATGTTTGACAAATAAGTGTTAAGTCAAATGTTAACTCTTATGTATACCTCGAAGGTCCTCTGCCCCCAGAGAAATCTATATAGATCAATGCATATGTATGCAGGGCTATCCCCACCCCCATCCCTTATTGACAACATGAAATCAAAAGCTTCTCACTCAAGGAAGCTAGCTAAGCATGCACATTTGCCTACTCCTGTCCCGGAGACTGTCACTGTGTTGATATTTTTAAAGGAGAGAAATCAAATCAAATCATCAGAGAATAGGAGAGGAAGCCAATGAAGAACAGTATAAAGCTGGAGGAGAGATAAGGAAGCAAAGATCCAGAACATATCAGGGAAGAGAAGGCAGATAAGGCCAAGAGCTGCGGGCAACAGCGCTGACAAGGACCTCACATCCAGACTAGCACACTGCGGCTCTCGCTTTCTGTTATCACAATAAAATACCTGGCTGTTTTATAGAGAAAAGAGTATTTAGCTCACATTTTGGAAGCTAAAAGTCTGGAATTGGGAGGTGGCATTAGAGCAGCAAGGGCTTCCTTGACTGTGAGCATCACACAGCAGGTGGGATTATGGCCAGATAGTATGCAAATGGGAGAAGTCAGCCGGTAAGACAGGAAGTCAGAGAGAATTCAGGGCTCAGGGCACTCCGCTTTGACAACTCGCTTGGGTGGGAACTATTGAGGTCCCATAGAATTACCTTAATCTCTTCCAAGGGCGGTGTCCCCCATTGCTTAATCACCTCCTATGAGCCCCCATCTTTTAAAGGCTCGCCACCTCTCAGTTCTACCTCCAATTCATGAGGCACACCCCTGATTCTCTTTTGGTTTGGAGGCCAAACCATAGTGCAAGATGCTATCTGAGAACACATTAGCTACCATGTCATCACCCCTGCTTTATCATTGCACATTAAAATTACACATACATGTAAGTAACTCTTTTGTAGAACTACATAATATTCCATAACTTGTTCTCCCAATCCTTTGTTTAAAAAAATTTCAGATTATTTTCATTTTGGTTCCTCCCGCCAAGGATGTAATCTACAAAAAAAAAAAAAAAAGAACACAATGAATTTCTTATATATCTATGGCCTTTATATTGACATTTTTGTTTTTATAAGTTACATTTTCAAAAGTAAAACTTCTGAGTCGAAATGCCTGTATAAATTTCATTTTAACTTGCCTGCCAGCTGGAATGGCATTTCCAGGAACTGCAGTAGTAATCCCGAGGATCACCCATATCAATACTGAGTGGGGGTCACCTGTTCTCTGTCTCCATTCAATGCCTGTGTTGCTGTATTGTACTTCTTTAAGACTGGTGATTTCTTGTCTTCCTACCTTATCTCCGAGCTGAGATTCTTACAAATACTCTTCTACATTTTTTTCTGGTATTTTGTTATTTATATTTCTAATCAGCCTGGAATCTGTTTTTATTAGAGTAAGTAATGATGATAGCTAACATTTACTGATGAATTTCTACAAGCTAGGCACTCTGAAAAAATACTGTCTAAAGTTCATATAGATAAGAAAAGTGAGTATTGTAAAACTTGAGGAATCACCCAAGCACACGTATCTCCTAATACTAAAGACTGTGACCTAAGCTGAATCTTACTCTGGACTATCTCCTCAAACATCCAGATGAAGAGCTAATTAATACCTGTCTTTTTCCATGTAATTGGATCACACATTCCATTGTGTGTGTGTGTGTGTGTGTGTGTGTGTGTTTGGTATTAAGGATCACGGGGCACCACACATGCTACAAGGGTGGAGTTGCATTCCCAGGCCCCAATCTTCAAGCTCTCAAATGTGGTCACTTTGTCTCTGGAGTCCACTGCATTTGTGCCACCACAATGCTGTTTTTCATTTTATACTTTCAGGGTAAGCTTTGTTTTCTCTTTGATAAGGCAAGTCCATGACAAAACCATCTAACAGATTAATAAATTTTGGATGTTTATTCTGGGCAAATCATTGGTCCAGTTCCAAAGAAAACATGTCTGTGCATTTTGATTTGGATTGCATTAAGTGTGCCTTAATTTGTTAAGAATTGACACTTATGTATCAATCTCTCTCTTCAGTCACATGGTACAATGTCTGTAGTATTAGGAGCGGCGGGGCTGCGTCTCCAGCACCCCGGCTGCCTGCTCGGCTAGCTTATGCCCGAAATAATTACACGGAAACTGTATTCATTTAATCACTGCTTGGCCCATTCTCTTCTAGGCTAATTCTCACATATTAATTTAGCCCATTTCTAATCATCTGTGTGTTGCACCCCAAGGTGCGCTTACCAGGAAGATTCTAGCCTATGTCCATCCTGGGTCGGAGCTTCATCCCGGGAGCGGGGCATGGCATCTCTCTCTGGCGTCTGCTCCCGAGAGGAGAGCGGTCGAGACTCTGAGCTCACTTCCTCTTCCTCCCAGCGTTCTGTTCTGTTTACTCCTCCCACCTATCCTCTAACCAATAAAATGGGCCAGGGCAGTTCCTTTATTAGCCAATGACCTTCCTCCATCAAATGTCCACTTATTTAGAGTCTTCAATAAAAGGTTAGACATGTCTCTAGCTCTTTGTACTCTTATATGAACTCCCTAAGCCATCATGTTGTGAGTAGGATATGTTCACATATGTATCTGGTAATCACAGAGGTAAAGCTGAGGTGTGTGTTTATGAGCCTAACCTCTGTTTTTGCTCTTGTTTTGGGAATAGGGTTTCACTGTGTAGCCCAGGCTGGCCTGGAACTCATTACATAGCCCAAGTTGCCCTAAAAATTGAAGTTCTCCAGTCTCAGATCCTGAATGCTGGATCGTAGGCCTCTGCCACCATAGCTGGCTTCTAGATTTTGCTTTTATAAAACATACCCTGCAAAGGCTTTGTTGTAATAAGATTGGCGGGCTGGGCTGCGTCCCGCCACCCGGCTAGCTTTACCCGAAATAATTACACGGAAACTGTATTCTTTTAAACACTGCCTGGCCCATTAGTTGCAGCCTCTTATTGGCTAGCTCTTACATATTGACCTAACCCATTTCTAATAATCTGTGTAGCCCATGAGGTGGCTTACCAGGGAAGATCTTAACCTGCGGCTGTGTCGGGAGTGAGAATCATGGCGACTGCCTGACTCAGCTTCTTTCCCCCAGCATTCTGTTCTGTTTACTCCGCCTACCTAATTTTATGTCCTATTAAAGGGCCAAAGCAGTCTCTTTATTTAACCAATGAAATTAACACAAAACAGAAGACTCTCCTCCATCAAGGCTTGCTCCCTTTTCCAGTTAGATTTTTGGACAGAGAATGTTACACCTTCTTTAAAAGCCACCTGCAGCAATTGCACAACAGCGCTGAGGGCAGCGCCATCCCTCGTCCCTGGTCATCTTGACAGCGACCTTAAGTGTTCACTCAGGAAAATGGCGCTGAGGGCTGTAAACCAGTCGTTGATGGCTTTCGATAGCTTCCTTGTGCTCCTAATGTGCTTAGAATTTATTATTATTAATGACTTTGGTTTGCGACTCAACGATAGAACACTTACCTAGCATTTGGAATGCCTTAGGTTCATGTTCCTGAATGGGGGTTGTAGGACCACTTATTGGTTGATTTTTGTTTGTTTGTTTTGTTTATCTGGTTTGGGTTAAGACAAGGTCTTGCTGTGTAGGTCTGGCTGGTCTGGAACAGGTAAGTGGACTAGGCTGGCCTTGAACTTGCAACCCTCCAATCTACGCCTCTTTAGTGCTAATGTCACAAATGTCAGAGGCCTGTGCCACCACACCCAGCCAATTATTCCCTGTTTTTTTTTTTTAATCTAGTGTCATAATCACATAACTTTTGCCCTTAAGTTTGTTACAATATTGTGGACACTGTGGTATTTCCAGTGCTGTGGAGTGCACAGCTGTGGGACATGCACTGTGGTCATCCGGGCACCTCGGCCATTCTGACCTTGGGAAAAGTTGAGCCTTTTTTTAGTTTACTGTAAGATTCCACCATGACCTTAAAGCCACAAAAAAAAAAAATCTGTTACAAAATACACAGCACAACAATTACAGACGCTTTCTGTTAAGAAAACACATGTAAACAATTCTAAATAAAACCAGAGCATATAATCCGGTCATGTTAAAAACTGGCAGCAAATGATAGGAGATTATAACTCCAAGCCAGAACAAGGAAACCAAAAATATAAGCTAAAAGACTTAGCGGAGGGGGGGGGGGGAAGACTAGATATACAAATGATATACCAAGTAAACCAGAAGCTACCTGCTAAAAGCAACCAGTTAGGATTGCAAGTGAGAAAATCCTACTCGGGGTTTTAAGAACGTTTTTCTGCCTTCTTTGAGAATTTGTGAAACGCTGTGTTGAAAGCGGCAAGAAGGGTGGAGCCCTGCACGCTGTCTGATGATTAATGCATGCAAGCCATTTATGATAGAGAGGGATGCATGCTGACTCAGCGGGTCTCCTTCCTTCAGCCTGACAAGGGCACCAAAGGAATTCAAAACAATGCTGGGACTCTCAGAAAATTACTGATTAAGCTCCGTTTCTTAAGAATTCTTGTAATTAAGGATTCCTTTTCTTTGGTTCTTGCTGGCCTTTGCATCAAGGGGCACACGACTGTTACCCAACAATCTTCTGGATTGTCGTTTTCAAACAGCTACACAGATTGCTTGGGAATCCCTCTGGAAATGCAGAACTGAGATCTCTCATTTGTGGGAATTTTCCTATTTCTAGGAATATGTTCACTTATTTATGAATTTGACCTGTATGGGCTCCTGTGATGTGAGGACCAGGTACAGGGAACAGTGTGCTAAGCTGGTGCCTGCCCTTAGGGGCTTGGGGACATGGATTGTATTGCACAGAAATTGTGAGCAACCCACCATGGCTGCAATAGAGTACCACTGGTAAATGAAGAACCATCCCAATGTTTAACTGCAGAAATTGCTTTTTCAATCTCAGGCAGATTTTATGATGTTAAGAGTCTCTAACTGTTCGTGTAGCCCACCTGTTTCCCCTGACACCCCTTACTGAATATTTTTTTCTTCTCTTAAGCAGGGAGAAGCTGGATTTCTTCTCTGCCCTTTCTCTAGGGCTGAGGCCAGCATGCCTCAGCTAACCCAGCAGGCATCTCCCCTCTGCCTTTAAGCCTTGGCCCAGCCTTCATGCACACAACGGTGCGAATTCGGGGTCCCAGGCAGAGGTCCCCACACATCTGGGAATCCCAGTGGGATAAGCAGGGAAAGCCTGACAGAGAAGTGAAGAGGAACATCTAGGGGTTTGGTTTTGTTTTGTTTTATTTTCTTAAAAAGAAATTTGTTGAAACAGGAGCCACCCACTGTTCACATAGTTCACTTTCTAATTCTGTTCTTGGGAATATACAGGAAGTAAACAAATGAAAAATTTTAAGTGACCAATCATAATTCTTTGACTATCAAGCCCTCTCAGTGGTGAGCCATTGTGATGGGCTGGAATGTCACAGAGACACCTGCAGTGAAAATAACATGTGTTTCTCCATTGAGGCAATAGCGCCATTAAAAACAGAACATGGGATGGAATTCACACACGGGTGGTAAATGCATGAAGAGCTTTAGTTAGTTTAAAAATGACTTAATAGGATTTTGGATATAGCCAATGCTTTGGGAATCAATTAGCTGACTTTCCCTAGAAAGTCTTCACTTGAACAAAACTGACGCCCTTTTATGCAAATTAGAACAAGTGATGACTGACATCTTGATGAGCTATTCTTGCCAGATGTAAAGGGAAGAACGGAAGCCACCTCCTTCTTGCTGGAGTTGTCAGTCTGTGCCTAGATCCAGCTTTTCAAGGTTCTGCGGCCTGTCACCTGGTCCTGGCTAGTTTTGTGTCAACTTGACACAAACTAGAGTCATCTAAAAGGAGGAAATCTCAATGGAAAAAATGACTCCCTAAGACCCAGCTGTAAGGTGTTTTCTTAATTAGTGATTGACAGGGGAGGGCGGAGCACATAGTGGATGGCTGTGGTGGTTTGAATAGAATTGACCCCCATAAGCTCATGGGCAGTGGCACTATTGGGAGGTGGCTTTGTTGGAGTAGAC